CAGGAGGACGTGGAGCTGAGATGACTTGCCAATGACTGGTACCAGCGGTGTCAAGATTGGCCTCTGTGGAGGAGGCTCGTGAAGGATGCTACTGGGCAGTTGGAGGCAGTCGCCCTCCAACAACAACGGAGGGCGGAGGAGCGACGCTCACAACAGCGAGCGGAGCGCCGGGTGGCTAAAGCACAGCAGGTTGGCACAGTAGGGGGCACAGGTGGTGCATCAGCCAGTCATCTCAGTCAGTCGACCCGTGGCACCTGGGTCTGCCCCGTGACCTCCTGCCAGCAGGCGTTCGACACTTCACGTGGCCTCAGGGTGCACATAGCCTGGCACAAGCGTCGTGGTGACGTCACCGCCACTTAGTGGTGGTGGTGGTAGTGTAGGTGGTGGTGTTGGTGGTGGTAGTGTAGGTGGTGGTGGTAGTGTAGGTGGTGGTGTTGGTAGTGTAGGTGGTGGTGTTGGTAGTGTAGGTGGTGGTGGTGGTAGTGGTGGTTGTGTAGGTGGTGGTGGTAGTGTAGGTGGTGGTGGTGGTAGTGTAGGTGGTGGTGGTAGTGTAGGTGGTGGTGGTGGTGGTAGTGTAGGTGGTGGTGGTAGTGTAGGTGGTGGTGGTGGTAGTGTAGGTGGTGGTGGTAGTGTAGGTGGTGGTGGTGGTGGTAGTGTAGGTGGTGGTGGTGGTAGTGTAGGTGGTGGTAGTGTAGGTGGTGGTGGTGGTAGTGTAGGTGGTGGTGGTAGTGTAGGTGGTGGTGGTAGTGTAGGTGGTGGTGGTAGTTTAGGTGGTAGTGTAGGTGGTGGTGGTGGTAGTGTAGGTGGTGATGTTGGTGGTGGTGGTAGTGTAGGTGGTGGTGTTGGTGGTGGTGGTAGTGTAGGTGGTGGTGTTGGTGGTGGTGGTGGTAGTGTAGGTGGTGGTGGTGTTGGTGGTGGTAGTGTAGGTGGTGGTAGTGTAGGTGGTAGTGTAGGTGGTAGTGTAGGTGGTGGTAGTGTAGGTGGTAGTGTAGGTGGTGGTGTTGGTGGTGGTGGTAGTGTAGGTGGTGGTGGTGTTGGTGGTGGCAGTGTAGGTGGTGGTGGTAGTGTAGGTGGTGGTGGTGGTAGTGTAGGTGGTGGTGGTGGTGTTGGTGGTAGTGTAGGTGGTGGTGGCGGTGGTGTTGGTGGGGTCCCACCTGGGTGAGAGGGGACGACCGCTCGCTCCGCCGCTCGTGCCGCGCCTCTGGCGGCCGTGCCCGGGGGCTGCGTCGCCGGTCCCGGGTCCTCGTCGCCCGCGGAGCCTCCCCCACCATCACCACCCCCTCCCTCTCCCCCACCACCCCCTCCCCCTCCTCCTCCCCCTCCTCTCCGCTACCGCGCTCCTCCACGCCGGCCCCCCGCCGCTCCGCCCGCCCCACGCGGTCCGCACGCTCCGTCGCTCGGCCCTCCCTCCGCCTGTCTGCTCGCACGCGGCCACGAGGTCACGTGAGCGGCCACGGTCACGTGGTCACGCGAGCGGCCACGGCCACGTGGTCACGTGAGCGGCCACGGCCACGTGGTCACGTGAGCGGCCACGGCCACGTGGTCACGTGAGCGGCCACGGCCACGTGGTCACGCGAGCGGCCACGGCCACGCGAGCGTCCACACGTGTGTCCACGCAGCCACGTGTGTCCACGCGTGTGTCCACACGTGTGTCCACGCAGCCACGTGTGTCCACGCGTGTGTCCACACGTGTGTCCACGCAGCCACGTGTGTCCACGCGTGTGTCCACACGTGTGTCCACGCAGCCACGTGTGTCCACGCGTGTGTCCACACGTGTGTCCACGCAGCCACGTGTGTCCACGCGTGTGTCCACACGTGTGTCCACGCGCGTGTCCACGCCGAGTGTGTGTGTCCACGGCGTGGCACAGACGCCCTGACCACGCTACGCGAGGCACGCCCCTCTCATTGCGCTCCTCTCGTTCCCGTCGACGGAGCCCCTCAACGCACCCCGTTCTCATCCCGCACGTAAAACGCTCTGCGCGTGACATCTTCACATAGAGAGGACTGCAGAGCTTGGCGAAGTTGCTGGTCACGCCGGCTCATCGCGAGGCGGCCTTCCCGTACCTCGTCAGCGCTTCCTCTTCGCGCCTCCGACCGCTCTCGCTCTGTACGCGGCGAGCGATGAGCGATGATGCCGTGGTGGTGGGGGGGGTGGGCGGCGGTGGCGGCCACAAGCCGACATCGTCGTCGTTGGGTCAGATCGCGTAAGTTTATAAATGTTGTGTCGTTAAACCCAGCACCACCCGACACGGCCAATCAGTCAGGTTTGTCACGTGAACATAACGTATAGTGTAGTGTATAGTGTAGTGTGTAGTGTAGTGTATAGTGTAGTGTATAGTGTAGTGTATAGTGTAGTGTATAGTGTATAGTGTAGTGTCGTGTATAGTGTAGTGTATAGTGTAGTGTATAGTGTAGTGTATAGTGTAGTGTATAGTGTAGTGTATAGTGTATAGTGTAGTGTATAGTGTAGTGTATAGTGTAGTGTGTAGTGTAGTGTAGTGTGTAGTGTATAGTGTAGTGTGTAGTGTATAGTGTAGTGTAGTGTGTAGTGTAGTGTGTAGTGTAGTGTATAGTGTAGTGTATAGTGTCGTGTATAGTGTAGTGTGTAGTGTATAGTGTAGTGTGTAGTGTATAGTGTAGTGTAGTGTATAGTGTAGTGTGTAGTGTAGTGTGTAGTGTAGTGTAGTGTGTAGTGTATAATGCCGTGTATAGTGTAGTGTAGTGTGTAGTGTAGTGTATAGTGTAGTGTGTAGTGTATAGTGTAGTGTGTAGTGTAGTGTGTAGTATAGTGTCGTGTACTAGTTCAGCACACACCTATGAATAATAATATTGGTCGCGAAAGCCTCCTACGTGATGTTAGCGAGTAGCGGCACCTACGAAGGCCGGCACGGCACACGAGGAGGTGGGTGGCCAGCACCACGCCCGGCCGCCTTTGTCTCCCCAGTGGCGACGTTTGCACACCGCACGGGGTGCTTATTTGAGGCCGAGTCGACCTAGGGGAAGCTTGGGACCGGTTCAGATCATCGCGACCGGACCCAACATAAAACCGCTTGTGGCTACATCATCATCATCCTCGTCATCTTCGTCCTCCTCGTTATTGTCCGGTGGGTCACTAAGACGAGTGGTACCCCCCCCCCCCCACCCCGCCCCGTACCTCTCGCGACATCGTCTCCCGCGCCGGCCGTCGTGCCCGCCGTGCCCGCGGGCCGCTCCGTCGTGCCCGCCGTGCCCACCGGCCGCTCCGCCGTGCCCGCCGGCCGCTCCGTCGTGCCCGCCGTGCCCGCCGGCCGCTCCGCCGCCGCCTGCAGCCGACGGAGCGGCCGCGTCGCTTCCCGCCGGGCCTCGTGCAGTTGCAGCGCCAGCGCCTCCACCTGGGGGGCACGGGGGGGGGCGAGCCCTGGAAGACGTGCGGAGTGGAAGAATCTCGACGCACGTGAGGAGTGGAAGGGGCTGGACCCACGTGAGGAGTGGAAGGGGCTGGACCCACGTGAGGAGTGGAAGGGGCTGGACCCACGTGCGGAGTGGAAGGGGCTGGACCCACGTGAGGAGTGGAAGGGGCTGGACCCACGTGAGGAGTGGAAGGGGCTGGACCCACGTGAGGAGTGGAAGGGGCTGGACCCACGTGAGGAGTGGAAGGGGCTGGACCCACGTGAGGAGTGGAAGGGGCTGGACCCACGTGAGGAGTGGAAGGGGCTGGACCCACGTGAGGAGTGGAAGGGGCTGGACCCACGTGAGGAGTGGAAGGGGCTGGACCCACGTGAGGAGTGGAAGGGGCTGGACCCACGTGAGGAGTGGAAGGGGCTGGACCCACGTGAGGAGTGGAAGGGGCTGGACCCACGTGAGGAGTGGAAGGGGCTGGACCCACGTGAGGAGTGGAAGGGGCTGGACCCACGTGAGGAGTGGAAGGGGCTGGACCCACGTGAGGAGTGGAAGGGGCTGGACCCACGTGAGGAGTGGAAGGGGCTGGACCCACGTGAGGAGTGGAAGGGGCTGGACCCACGTGAGGAGTGGAAGGGGCTGGACCCACGTGAGGAGTGGAAGGGGCTGGACCCACGTGAGGAGTGGAAGGGGCTGGACCCACGTGAGGAGTGGAAGGGGCTGGACCCACGTGAGGAGTGGAAGGGGCTGGACCCACGTGAGGAGTGGAAGGGGCTGGACCCACGTGAGGAGTGGAAGGGGCTGGACCCACGTGAGGAGTGGAAGGGGCTGGACCCACGTGAGGAGTGGAAGGGGCTGGACCCACGTGAGGAGTGGAAGGGGCTGGACCCACGTGAGGAGTGGAAGGGGCTGGACCCACGTGAGGAGTGGAAGGGGCTGGACCCACGTGAGGAGTGGAAGGGGCTGGACCCACGTGAGGAGTGGAAGGGGCTGGACCCACGTGAGGAGTGGAAGGGGCTGGACCCACGTGAGGAGTGGAAGGGGCTGGACCCACGTGAGGAGTGGAAGGGGCTGGACCCACGTGAGGAGTGGAAGGGGCTGGACCCACGTGAGGAGTGGAAGGGGCTGGACCCACGTGAGGAGTGGAAGGGGCTGGACCCACGTGAGGAGTGGAAGGGGCTGGACCCACGTGAGGAGTGGAAGGGGCTGGACCCACGTGAGGAGTGGAAGGGGCTGGACCCACTTGCAGCGCGACCGCCGTCCCACCAGCCCCGGCGGTTTCCCCCACGACCCAATCGTGACCACTGGTTCCTTTACCCCCCCCACCCCCTTTACCCACGACAAGTTAGTTAACGACGAGTTAGTTACCGACAAGTTAATTAATGACAAGTTAGTTAACGATAAGTTAGTTAACGATAAGTTAGTTAACGGCGAGGTAGTTGCGCATTTCGGGTGCATTTTCTCGCCGCGAAGCGTTGGCGACACATTTCAACGTAGGATGACAGAGCTTGGGCAATTGTTGGCGTCGATCCTCGCTGCCTCACCACCGCACACAAACACCACCCCCTCCCTGTCTGTCTCCGAGAGCAAACGAAACCCACGCCACAACTTGCACGCCACCGTCACCGTCGTCGATTGCGGCCACCGACCTGCGCCTGGAGCCGCCGTTCGGCGTCCGGCTGCGGCGCCGCGGGCCTCACGGACGCGATGGGCACCATGCGGCGCTCCCGCACCGGCGTCGCCTCCACCTGCCGCCAGCGCCGCTCGATCTCCTCGCCCGGGGCCCAGGGCCCCACCGCCTCCACCTCCTCCTCCACGTCCTCCTCCTCCTCCTCCTCCGGCCCGTGCCGACCTCCGCGGCCGGGCCTCCCCTCCTCCGCCCGGCGAGAGCCGCGGCCGCCGAGTCGCGGGCCGCCGTCCGGCGTCCCCTCGGCCCCGTGGCCGTTGAGCCGGGCGCCGCCCCCGGCGTCGCCCGGGGAGCCGCCGCCGCCGTCCCTCCGCGGCGGCCGTCCAACCCGGGGGCGGCGCCGGCGCCCCTCCTCCGCGGCCGCCCGGGCCGCCGTCCGGCCGGGCGGCCGCCCGGCCTTCCTCGGCCGCCGCCGAATGGAAGAACGCGCGCCGCTCCTCGCTCCGCCTCCTCCGTTCCTCCTCCAGCGCCGGCGCCGCGGCCTCGGCACCGCCGACCCCCTCGGAGAGGCCGGGCCGCGGGCCGCGACGGCCGCGGGGCGTCCCGGCGGCCCCGGCTTCGCCGGCGCCGTCGGCAAAGCCGAGGCCGCCCGCCGCCTCCCCCGGCGTCTCCCCCGGCGTCTCCCGCCCCGCCGGCGGGCGGGCCACGCCGGCGCGCTCCAGGGCCTGCTCCACGGTGCGGAACTCGGCCCAGTCCAGCGTCTTGGGCCGCCCGTCCCCCCAGGGCGGAGCGGCGGTGGGAGTCTGAGGGGGTCCCGTCCCTGGCGGCTCCCGGTCGCCTGCGCGCCAGGGCGCCTCCACGCATGACTGGACGTGCACGAGTGACCCTGCAGGTGACCCTACGGGTGACTGGAGGTGTCTAGGTGACCCTACAGGTGACTGGAGGTGACTAGATAACTCTACAGGTGACTGGAGGTGTCTAGGTGACCCTGCTGGTGACTGAAGGTGTGTAGGTGACCCTACAGGTGACTGGAGGTGACTAGATAACTCTACAGGTGACTGGAGGTGTCTAGGTGACCCTGCTGGTGACTGAAGGTGTGTAGGTGACCCTACAGGTGACTGGAGGTGTCTAGGTGACCCTACAGGTGACTTAAGGTGTGTAGGTGACTCTGTGTGTGACTGGAGGTGTCTAGATGACTCCGTGTGTGACTGGAAGTGTCTAGATGACTCTACAGGTGACTGGAGGTGTCTAGATGACTCTACGGGTGACTGGAGTTGTCTAGGTGACCCTACATGTGACTGGACGTGTCTAGGTGACCCTACAGGTGTCTGTAGGTGTCTAGATGACTCTATGGGTGACTGAAGGTGTCTAGATGACTCTAAAGGTGACTGGAGGTATCTAGATGACTCCATAGGTGACTGGAGGTGTCTAGATGACTCTACAGGTGACTGGGGGTGTCTAGATGACTCTACAGGTGACTGGAGGTGTCTAGATGACTCTGTGTGTGACTGGAGGTGTCTAGATGACTCTAAAGGTGACTGGAGGTGTCTAGATGACTCTACAGGTGACTGTAGGTGTCTAGATGACTCTGTGTGTGACTGGAGGTGTCTAGATGACTCTGTGTGTGACTGGAGGTGTCTAGATGACTCTACAGGTGACTGGAGGTGTCTAGATGACTCTACAGGTGACTGGAGGTGTCTAGATAACGCTACAGGTGACTGGAGGTGTCTAGATGACTCTACAGGTGACTGGAGGTGTCTAGATGACTCTACGGGTGACTGGAGGTGTCTAGATGACTCTACGGGTGACTGGAGGTGTCTAGATGACTCTGTGTGTGACTGGAGGTGTCTAGATGACTCTACAGGTGACTGGGGGTATCTAGATGACTCTGTGTGTGACTGGAGGTGTCTAGATGACTCTACAGGTGACTGGAGGTGTCCAGATAACTCTACAGGTGACTGGAGGTGTCTATATGACTCTGCAGGTGACTGGGGGTATCTAGATGACTCTGTGTGTGACTGGAGGTGTCTAGATGACTCTACAGGTGACTGGAGGTGTCTAGATAACTCTACAGGTGACTGGAGGTGTCTACATGACTCTGTGTGTGACTGGAGGTGTCTAGATGACTCTACAGGTGACTGGAGGTGTCTAGATGACTCTACGGGTGACTGGAGGTGTCTAGATGACTCTGTGTGTGACTGGAGGTGTCTAGATGACTCTACAGGTGACTGGGGGTGTCTAGACGACTCTGTGTGTGACTGGGGGTGTCTAGATGACTCTACAGGTGACTGGGGGTGTCTAGATGACTCTACAGGTGACTGGGGGTGTCTAGATGACTCTGTGTGTGACTGGAGGTATCTAGATGACTCTACAGGTGACTGGAGGTGTCTAGATGACTCTATAGGTGACTGGAGGTGTCTAGATGACTCTACAGGTGACTGGGGGTGTCTAGATGACTCTACAGGTGACTGGAGGTGTCTAGATGACTCTGTGTGTGACTGGAGGTGTCTAGATGACTCTACAGGTGACTGTAGGTGTCTAGATGACTCTGTGTGTGACTGGAGGTGTCTAGATGACTCTGTGTGTGACTGGAGGTGTCTAGATGACTCTAAAGGTGACTGGAGGTGTCTAGATAACTCTACAGGTGACTGTAGGTGTCTAGATGACTCTGTGTGTGACTGGAGGTGTCTAGATGACTCTAAAGGTGACTGGAGGTGTCTAGATGACTCTGTGTGTGACTGGAGGTGTCTAGATGACTCTAAAGGTGACTGGAGGTGTCTAGATGACTCTACAGGTGACTGGGGGTGTCTAGATGACTCTGTGTGTGACTGGAGGTGTCTAGATGACTCTACAGGTGACTGCAGGTGTCTGAATGACCCGACGCGTGACTGCGGGTGTCTGTATGACTCCACGGGTGACTGCGGGTGTCTGTATGACTCTGCGGGTGACTGCAGATGTTGTAGGTGTCTGTATGACTCTTCGTGTGATTGCGGGTGTCTGTATGACTCTACAGGTGACTGGAGATGTCTAGATAACTCTACAGGTGACTGGAGGTATCTAGATGACTCTACAGGTGACTGGAGGTGTCTAGATGACTCTACAGGTGACTGGAGGTGTCTAGATATCTCTGTGTGTGACTGGAGGTGTCTAGATGTCTCTGTGTGTGACTGGAGGTGTCTAGATGACTCTACAGGTGACTGGAGGTGTCTAGATGACTCTACAGGTGACTGGGGGTGTCTAGACGACTCTGTGTGTGACTGGGGGTGTCTAGATGACTCTACAGGTGACTGGGGGTGTCTAGATGACTCTACAGGTGACTGGGGGTGTCTAGACGACTCCACAGGTGCCTGCGAGTGCCTGGAGGTGCCTGGGGCCTGCGGGACGAGAGCGATCGCGGTGACGGCTCGTAGCCACGACGGCGCCCGACCAAGACAGCCGCCTCGGCACCGCGATCGGTTAAAATCCACGGAGGTCGCGACCCCTGGGGGCCGGGGCGGTCACCGATGCCAAGTCTCCGTCTCGTGCCGCCCTCCCGGGAACTCACCGAGACGGAGCGACGGGGTGAGTGGGCGCCGAGGGCGGCATACCCAATTCCCGGCGTCGCGAAGGGGGGACGGCTCACCGCACGGCTCACCGCACGGCTCACCGCACGGCTCACCGCACGGCTCACCGCGGTGGCACCACCACCGCTGTAAGCGCCGCCGTTGCCGCGCGCGTGGGGACGGAGCGAGAACCCCGGTTTCGTTGTCGCGAGGTCGGAGGAACGTGGCGACGGCGGCGGTCGCATCACCGTGACGGCGACGCCGGCGGTCGCATTACCGCGGCGGCGAAGGAGGCGGTCGCGTTACCGCCGGGGATGGCGAAGGAGGCGGTGGACATCGCCGCGACGGCTACGGTCGCATCGCCGCCGTCACCCGACCCGCCCGGCGCCCGCACAACCGTGCGCCGTAGCGGGAACGGCGGCGTCAATAATTCACTCCTCGCTCCGACTCGGTTCCCAACTCACCCCCACCCCCCCAGGGCTCGAGTTACGAACGGCGCTGTCGGACCTCCGACCTCCGACCCCCGCGTCCACCCACGACTGCCGCCCCACACACCCCCACCCGCCCGCCCGCCACAGGCCGTGGCTAAACTCGCCGTCGTGGATTTTTTAAAGTCAAACTGATCAACTGATTTTGTTTTATTTGGTCAGGCAAAGCCCACCGATGAATGCGAGCGAGCCGCGTGCACTTACACGACCTCAGCTGCGTCATTGTTGACCAGGTGCAGCCCGCTGAGCTACGAGCTCTTGCTCAGGGGCGACCTGGCCACACGTGACCGTAGCTCATCAAGATCGCAGTGGCCAATAGCAACGTCGTACTCACACTGTAAATGGTGTGGCTTTGCTCTCCAACACACAATCGGTGTGCTCTACTAGTATACTACACTATACACTACACTATACACTAGTGCTGTACTAGTACACTACACTATACACTACACTATACACTAGTGCTGTACTAGTATACTACACTATACACTACAATATACACTAGTGCTGCATTAGTATACTACACTATATACTACACTATACACTACGCTATACACTAACTAATGCTGTACTAGTATACTACACTATATACTACAATATACACTACACTATACACTACACTATACACTACACTATACACTACACTATACACTAGTGCTGTACTAGTATACTACACAATACACTACACTATACACTAGTGCTGTACTAGTATACTACACTATACACTACAATATACACTAGTGCTGTACTAGTATACTCACTACACTATACACGAGTGCCGTACTAGTATACTACACTACACTATACACTAGTGCTGTACTAGTATACTACACTATACACTACACTATACACTAGTGCTGTACTAGTACACTACACTATACACTACACTATACACTAGTGCTGTACTAGTATACTACACTATACACTACACTATACACTAGTGCTGTACTAGTATACTACACTATACACTACACTATACACTAGTGCTGTACTAGTATACTACACTATACACTACACTATACACTACTGCTGTACTAGTATACTACACTATACACTACACTATACACTAGTGCTGTACTAGTATACTACACTATACACTACACTTCACACTACACTATACACTAGTGCTGTACTAGTATACTACACAATACACTAGTGCTGTACTAGTAAACTACACTATACACTACACTATACACTACACTATCCAATACACTACACTATACTATACACTACACTATATACTACACTATACATTACACTATACACTACACTATACACTACACTATACACTAGTGCTGTACTAGTATACTACACTATACACTACACTATACACTAGTGCTGTACTAGTATACTACACTATACACTACACTATGCACTACACTATACACTAGTGCTCTGCTAGTATACTACACTATACACTACACTATACACTAGTGCTGTACTAGTATACTACACTATACGCTCCACTATACACTAGTGCTGTACTAGTACACTACACTATACACTACACTATACACTACACTATACACTAGTGCTGTACTAGTATACTACACTACACACTAGTGCTGTACTAGTATACTACACTATACACTACACTATACACTAGTGCTGTACTAGTATACTACACTATACACTACACTATGCACTACACTATACACTAGTGCTATACTAGTATACTACACTATACACTACACTATACACTAGTGCTGTACTAGTATACTACACAATACACTACACTATACACTAGTGCTGTACTAGTATACTACACTATACACTACACTATACACTAGTGCTGTACTAGTATACTACACTATACACTACACTATACACTACACTATACACTAGTGCTGTACTAGTATACTACACGATACACTACTGCTGTACTAGTATAGTACACTATACACTACACTATACACTTGTGCTCTACTAGTATACTACACTATACACTACACTATACTATAAACGAGTGCTGTACTAGTATACTACACTATACACTACACTATACACTAGTGCTGTACTAGTATACTACACTATACACTACACTATACACTAGTGCTGTACTAGTATACTATACTATACACTACACTATACACTAGTGTTGTACTAGTATACTACACTATACACTACACTATACACGAGTGCTGTACTAGTAACGAATTTGCACGTTCTGTTCACGTGACAAACCTTACTGATTGGCTGTGTCGGGTGGTGACAGGTTTAACGACACAACATTTATATATTTACGCGATCTGACCCAAAAAAACCTCTATTATGGATCATCGTTATCATCATCACCACCACCACCACCACCACACGTGGGAATTCATAGCAGCGGTGGCAGCGGCCAAACAATCTCGACACGCTTCATTTCTAAATGTGGAGGAGGGCAAAAACGGCAGGAGGAACCCCAGAGGCGGATCCCCGCTACGACCACCACGAGGAGGAGAGAGAGAGAACACGCGGGCCCCAAATATACAACAGCAGGCATCGATCGCCAGGGGGGCCGGGATCGAACCCACGCACTCCTGCGTGGCAGGCGAGGAGGGAGACGTGTAACACCTCCACGACACCACGGCGCCACCACATTGGTAGAAGTTTCAGCGGGTGACATGAGGAGTAAAGGCTGATTAGTACCGTAGCGTGCGTTCTTACCGCGCGTCCTTACCGCACATCCTTACCGCACGTCCTTACCGCACGTCCTTACCGTAGCATGCGTCCTTACCGCACGTCCTTACCGCACGTCCTTACTGTAGCATGCGTCCTTACCGCACGTCCTTACCGCGCGTCCTTACCGCGCGTCCTTACCGCACGTCCTTACCGCGCGTCCTTACCGCGCGTCCTTACCGCACGTCCTTACCGTAGCGTGCGTCCTTACCACGCGTCCTTACCACGCGTCCTTACCGCACGTCCTTACCGCACGTCCTTACCGCGCGTCCTTACCGTAGCGTGTTTGTCATCCAGCGAGTGAGCCCGGGGAAGGGGCTTGTGTGCATGCAGCAGTGGCCAGGACGTGGGGGCTCCGGCGCTGGCATCCTGCATGCACGAACAGCGAACAAACAACAAACAAACATCAACAAACATCAACAAACAACAACAAACATCAACAAACAAACATCAACAAACATCAACAAACAACAACAAACAACAAACATCAACAAAAAAACAAACATCAACAAACAACAAACAAACAACAAACATCAACAAACATCAACAAACATCAACAAACAACAAACATCAACAAACATCAACAAACATCAACAAACAACAACAACAAACAAAAAAAACACAGCACACCAGTTACTCGTTTGAGGCTGAGTCGACCTAGGGAAGGCTCAGGACCGGTTCAAATAATCGTCACCGGTGGTGGCCGTGAGCGGGAATCGAACTCGGGTAGCCGGGTTCGTAGCGCGGCGTAGCGCTAACCACTACACTACAATGCGTTACGCTTCCATACACACACAGACACACAGATACACACATAGACACACACACAGAGACACACACACAGACACACAGACACACACAGACACACACACACACAGACACACACACAGACAGACACACAGACAGACACACACACACACACACATAGACACACACATAGACACACAGACAGACACACAGACAGACACACAGACACACACACACAGACACACACACACAGACACACATACACAGCGCGCTAACCGCTACACTACAATGCGTTACGCTTCCACGTGCGCGGGTCACGTGACAGATTTGACGTCACAGCTCACTTGCCGTGCAAAAAATAAATGCATTATTGAGCTCCCCCCCCCCAAAAAAAAAAACACAAAAGTGATTTTGTTATAATTGTTGCATGGTGTACCGTCTGGAAAGTACCCACATGGCAAATTTCAAGTTTGTTGCATGCCGGGAAGTACGCTAAACATTTTGAACAGACACACATAATCACAAATTTTCCTTTTATATATAGAGATTACTACTATACTCTCTACTATACACTACACTACGATACACTACACTACTATACACTTCTGTACTGCTATACACCGCATTATTATACTAAAACTAAAAACAATGTTTACTGTTCCCCAGCTAAGGCCCACTGAGCTGTGATGCTCTTTCTCAGAAGCGACCTGGCCGCCCACGAATGGTCGCTGCTCAACGAAGTTGGCTCATCACGTGGACATCGACAGCGGCGGCGGCAGCCAAACGCTCTGAACGCCTGGCGACGTTGATTCTACATGTGGAAGGAAAACCCCGAGGAGCCGGAGAAAAATCCACGCGACCACGGGGGAGAGAGACGCAGACTCCAAATAAACAGCAGCAGCAGCAGCAGGCGTCGGGGTCGGGATCGAACCCACGACCTCCTGTACACCAGGCGAGGTTGTTAACATCTCACCACACTCTGATTAGCATGGTTGCCTGCATACGCTGTGAAAGAAGTCTAACATGCACACAACATGCACACAACATGAACACAACATGCACACAACATACACACAACATACACACAACATGCACACAACATGCACACAACATACACACAACATACACACAACATGCACACAACATGAACACAACATGCACACAACATGCACACAACATACACACAACATACACACAACATGAACACAACATGCACACAACATGCACACAACATACACACAACATGCACACAACATACACACAACATACACACAACATGCACACAACATGCACACAACATGCACACAACATACACACAACATGCACACAACACACAACATACACACAACATACACACAACATGCACACAACACACAACATGCACACAACATACACACAACATGCACACAACATACACACAACATACACACAACATGCACACAACACGCACACAACATACAACATGCACACAACATGCACACAACATGCACACAACATACACACAACATGCACACAACATGCACACAACATACACACAACATACAACATGCACACAACATACACACAACATACACACAACATGCACACAACACACAACATACACACAACACACAACATGCACACAACATGCACACAACATACACACAACATGCACACAACATGCACACAACATACACACAACACACAACATACACACAACATACACACAACATGCACACAACATGCACACAACACACAACATACACACAACATGCACACAACATACACACAACATGCACACAACACACAACATACACACAACATGCACACAACATGCACACAACATGCACACACCATACACATACCACACAACATACACACAACATACACACAACATGCACACAACACACAACATGCACACAACATGCACACAACATGCACACAACACACAACATGCACACAACATGCACACAACATGAACACAACACACAACACGCACACAACATGCAAGCACCGCTCTAACGTGGACCGCTCTCCTCTCCCTCCGCGCGCTACACCTTGCAGTGCATCCTGGGAAGCGACGAGCGGCGCTGCCGCGGGAAGGCGGCGGCCTCCGCGGCCGCCCGCCGCAGCTTGGCCTGCTCCTGGGCCTCCCACTTGTCGGCCACGAGCGAGCGCCTAGGGCCAGGGGCGGTCAGGGTCACACGGAGCAGGAGAGTCAGCCGCTCGAGACGTCCGTGCGACGAGCTTCAGCGCCGGCAGGCTCAACCCTCTAGGGAGACGACCCACAGCCTCGCCCGTCCACAGCTTCCAGCGCAGCGGCAGAGTGGACATAAGCATAAGCGAGATGAGAGAGGGGGGGTGGGAGTTTGAGCTATTTAACCGATGGTAGAGAGCAGAACGATAGGCAGGATAAATTGAGCCTGGGAGCCCAGGGTGTGGGGGGGGGGGAATAGGCTGGCATCCACTGACCCACGCAATCACGCGTAGTTCGACGGGTTGCTAGCGGTAAATAAAATAACTAGTAGGAGGATAAACTGCGTCGCGTGGTCTCTGGGAGTGCGTAGAGGAGGCTGGAGCGCGCTGGGTGTTCGCGTGCAGGTGCGCTTGTGTTTCCACGAAGCGGAGTGTTCAGCGTTGCGCGGTGCCTACGCGGCCGGTTTCGGTGGCGTTGAGCGCTCGCGCTCCGGTGCGATTGTTTGCAGCAGGGCTTAGCGCTCGCGCGCCTGTGTGAAGGCGTTGCGGTCGCGCGCCCGCTCGGTGATTGGCACGCGGGCGGGCTCGGCAGGCGGCAGCGTCGTGTTTGTTATTGCCGGGGCTCGTAGAGCGTGTGTACGAGGGAGTCACGCGTCGGCGTACCGTACCCATCGGTTTACGTACGGGAATCCCGCGTCGGCGCGCCGCACCCGTTTGTTCACGGGCGGGGCGGAGTCTTGGCTCGCTCACCGCAGCACGCCGCCGGTCTCGCGTAGCGCGCCGCAAGCGCTTAGCGTACGAGCCACTCATCGAGTCACGCTCACGCGGTCAACAACACAGTCAGGGGCACAGGGGGGCGAGCAAGTGGACGCCGGTAGCCCGGAACCCACAGAACAGCCGCGGGGTGGTGGGACGAACGGTACGGGGGAGTCGGGGGGCAACGGCCCCGACAATTCGGTGATGGCGGGGGACGGTAGCCCCCACACTTGCCCCCTCGTGTACCGTTCCGGCCTCCATTGGCGCTCACTAACAGCACTTGCCCCAAACAGTCTGTTCAAGGCTATACGTGGGATCTTTGCGTAGGTGTACGCCCAGGATCCCATTCAAACCCACAGTGGCCTGGTCTCAGCTAGCTGATGAAAGTTGCAAGCGAGAATTTCATCATCGCTTGCAGCTGGGGTTGGCATCGTCCCCCACTCCTCCTGATGCCGAGTGGGAATGGGCGAGGTTTAGGACTGTGACTCATGCAGCTGCAATGGCTGCTTTGGGTACATAGTCCAGACGTCCCCAGAGACCCTGGCTGACAGAGGAGGTGTTCAGGCTGGCTGAGAAAAAGCAACAGGCCCACTCTAATCGTCTACAGCATGCCACGTCAGAGAATGAGGAGGCTTACCGCAGCCTCGCTCGAAGGTTCAGAGAGTCGTGAGGCGCTGCAAGGATGGGTGGTGGTCGCGGATTGCTGAGGAGATGGAATCTGCCTCAGTGGCCCGCGATCACAAATCCCTATTTAACTCCATCAAAAAAGTAACTTGCAGCCCAACACCTATTACCATCATTAGAGGAAAGAACAGTGATCAAATCTCTGACCCCAGGAACAGGTTTGCAGATTTGCTGAGTATTTATATGAGGTCTTGGGGGAGGGGAAATCCCTCAGCCTGGAAAACATCGTGGGACAAAGTGGGGATGACCCTGCTGAGGCTGCGGTGCCTCAAATATTGGAAGAAGAAGTCACCTCTTGTGAGTGGCTGGCTGAGGTGCCATCTGTTGAGGAAGTACTGAAGGCCATCCAGAGCCTGAGACCAGGAAAGGCACCGGGCAGAGATGATCCCCCAAGCGAAATGCTGAGGGAGGGTGGCGTTTGTGCACAGACTGCCCTACATGACATCATAACAACAGTCTGGACCACTGGATGGGTTCCGCAGGATTGGAAGGATGACCTGGTGAACCGCACAGACTGTAACAACTACAGGGGCATCTCACTCCTCAGTGTGCCAGGAAAGGTCCTGGCAAGGATTATTCAACTTCGCCATACCAAGCACGCTAAGGAGAGGCTTGTGGAGCCCCAATGCGGTTTCAGGAAAGGGCGGTCCTGCACAGATGTAATATGTTATGTCCGTCTGCTACAGCAGAGGTATAGGGAAATCCAAGAAGACTTACATCTCTGCTTTATTGACCTGCTCAAGGCCTATGATACCATCAGTAGGCCTGGGCTCTGGATTGTTCTTCGTGCTTTTGGAGTACCTGACCCTCTGCTCACGATCATTAAGGACCTTCATGATGGTGAGCGGGCCCGGGTAAAACTACGTGGCCGGGAGTCAGAGCCATTCCCTGTTAACCTTGGGGTGCGACAGGGATGTCCTCTGGCTCCCACATTATTTAACATTTATTTTGACCACGTAGTTCGTGAAGCCTTCAATAGCTGTACCGGGGGAATCTCCATATGGTACAGATATAATGGGAGGCTGATCGACGCCCGGGTGCGGTCAAGGGATGGCTCCCTATTGCTCAACCA